TAACACTCTTTTCCTTGCAAAGTAGTTTCAGCAACTCTTTAACGCCATCACAACGGTAAATACTAAATACAAAAATGTCAAGGTTATTGATATTACGTTTGACATATTCAGCTCTTTGTTGATGAAATTCTTTCATTTGTTCTTTTGTTTTACATACTTGCAAATGATAATTAACACAAGTCAAATGTCGATTCACAATGCTTATTTCACAAATGCAAAAATCTCCCCATTCGTGCTTTACTCCACAATCAATAGCTCCAATATCCATTACAAAATAAAACATCTTTCTTATGAACCTGTTTTTTTTAAGAAAAAATAAATTTAAAAAAATTTTTTAAGAATATATCATTCTTAAAAATATATCATTCTTTAAAATTATATAATTTTTTTAAAGTTTTTAAATATCTTATTTTTAAAGAAAAATAAAAAATTGCAATAATAACTTTTTTTTATTCACAAAAAAAATTTAACAAAAAACTCAGTAAACAATAAGGCGTCCAAAAAAAGTAATGATTTTTGACTTTTTCCCAGAAATCACCCACTGAGAAAAATGAGCTCTTTAAAGAGCTCTTTATTTGGTTTTTCTAGAACTCGTCCAGGAGCTCTTCGAAGAGGTCTTCTACGAGACACTCCGCACAGAGCTCTTTTAGTAAAGTACCGAAGAGCGCTTTTAAAAGAGTTCTTGTAGAGCTCTATCAAGAAATCTAAACATGTGAGCATTCTTCAAAAATTACTTTTTTCATCTAAATGCATGGTATCACAATTCTTAAATCCACACTTTTATATTTTGAATAACTAATCACTTGCACGAGTATTTTATATTGAAGGAAAAGCAGGGAACGCTACACCTAAAAAAACTTAAAGCCCTTAAAAAACCCCCACAAAAGTGTTTGCAATAAAATATCGCACAGGAAAGAACAAAGTAAAAAAAAGCCAAATTTATAAGAACAATTTTTATTCCAATTTTTTTTTCCTGATCTCCTTCGCAATATTATCATTTGCCTTGTACATGGCGTCTTTAAGACCTTTTTCGATCTTCATTACGTCTTTGTGTCCCAGTTTTTTTAGCACAGCTGAAAAGATTTTAAATTTATTTTATAATATTCAATGCTTGTTTATTTGATTATTATTTATATTATTTGAAAAATGTTTAGTTGTCACAACTCACCTATCAGTGTGATGTACACAATTCCATTTTTGACTGCCATCTTCTTCTCCTTATATGTTTTGTGCCCAGCATAGCACATGTTTTTCAGCATGTCTTGAGAGAAGATTTCACTCATAATCATTTTAGCTGCAGTTGTTGTAGCTAATGTATCAAGCTTGAGTGCCTTTAAACGTTCCAAAAGCAACTTTTTCTGAAAAAAATATTTTATTAAGAACAAAATTTTTTTTTACATAATAAATAATGCTATACCAATAAGGTTTCAAAAAAAGAATGTAATTTAGAATTTAAACTGTATAATTTGACATTTCACATTCTACATAGTTAAGTGAATGAAGATAATTATTAGATTATTTGCAAGAGAGCAGATTTTTAAGCTGCCTGACATACATAACAAGAAAACACTTTAAGAATGAAAAAAAATTATTAATAATAACAAAAAGTCCAGATTTAAGATCTAGATAGACTTATATTAGCTTATATTAAAGTGAGATTAGATCACTGAAGACTCACTAGATTTTAATAACATAATAATAAATTTCATTTTGTAAATAATGACTTTAACTATACAAAGAAAATATGTATCCAGCTTACCCAAGTTTTGACAAAAGATTCATTTTTCAGTTTTTCCTCCAGCTTGTAATATTGTTCTTTTGTGGTCATAGGCAGGCGTCCTAAAACAGAATCATCCTCAACTGCATCATCATCAGAGGAGTCTCTGTTTGTTTGGCTTTTAGAACTTGCAGAGCGCTTTCTATTGCGTAAAACAGTGTTTATATTAAGTGCATGTGCTGATTAAATTCTAAAAAAACAAAAATTATTTAGTATTTTAATCATGCACACACAAAACTATAAAACAAAGTTTAATACCTATTCACAGTTAAGCTTATGTTATAAGTTGTTATTGACAGAGTATATTTGTTATGTAAAAAATAAAAACACAATGATCACACAAATTATACACCTTATATACACTACCTGTTTGAGACATATCACTAGCTTTCTTTCGGTGTTTATACAAATTTTTCAAGGTTCCATTACACCACACATCAGAGTCAGCATCAGCTGTTACTTTACAAAAAAAAATTTAATCCTTTAGACTTCTGATTTAACAAAGAAAACTATGTACTATTAAGTTTTTAAGGTTTATGTATTTTTTTGTTTTATTTGGTTTAATCATCAATAACAATTGTTATTGATAAAACATGTTAAAAAGTTTTTAAATTATATATATATTACTACTTATGCTAAGTAACTAAAACTCAGTCTTTTACTAATCACTTCCTACCTCTTATGTTGGGGCTACTAGTCCTGATTGGTGATGAAGTAAGTCCTGCAGCCATGGCAGTAGGACTTTGTTCTCTACTCTTGGCAGGAGACCAGTTCCCTAACACAGACAATCTAGAAGTACTGGATGCTAAAAAAAAAGAAAAATTAAATTTTAATCATAAATTCAAGCTCTAAAACACCTATTTTGAGAAAAAGAATAAACTTTTTCTTTTAAAATGATATCAAAATATCAAATACTTTTTAGCCAGAGTTTACGTTTTTTTATCATATTGGGAATATGATAAAAAATCGTATATTGAAATTTATTTTTTGTTTATTCCACAAAAATTACACATGATAATAAAAACTTTTTAATTTAATTGCATAATAACAAAAATTAGTCTCTTATGATAACCTTCCTCTTTTACTGAGGCTCCCCCGAGTCCTCATTAATGTTGAAATAAGCTGTATACCTCTGTCAGTAGAACTTTGTACTCTATTCATAACAGAAGAATACATATCTTCAAACATTGAAGATCCAGAGGTGACATTGGATTCTAAAAAAAAAATTTACAATAAAAAGTTTTAAAGATTGTTACTTGCATTTAAAAAAAACATTAAAAAAAAACAGTTTTTATTTGTTATATAAATTCAATATAATTCATGCACACTTTTCTACGGATAAAGATCCTTGTTGTGAAACATTAAAATTTATATTTTAATTTTTGTTTATTCTATTAACAAAATAATTTTAATCCTAATACTAAAAAAAACAACAACATATAATTATATATAAAAAACAGATGATTCAATGCATGTAAATTGTAACTATTTTTAATCGAAAAATCTCAAAAATGTTTAATTTTACTGTTCGTTTAAATAAATGTTTCGGCTCACATTACCTATTTGGTGAGAAAAGATTTCAAGAGATTTATTTCTATTTTCACTTGTGATTTGGAGAGTGAGTTGTTTGTCTGCTGAGGTTTCAGGAGTATAAGTAACATTAATTTCAGGAGAAGACAAGATTTTACTATATTTTTTTTTTGCAGTGTGGGTGATCTTCATTGACTTTCGATTATCTGTACAAAAGCATTGCAACAAAAGCATAAATGTTAATATCAAAACTGTATAAAAATTATATAAGCTTTCATTATAACATTTTATTAATTTAAAATATGTCATCTTTAATGCAATGATTTTCATTGCACTTTAAAAAATAGCCTCAAATTATGTTGTTTTTTTAAAAAAAAGCATCTTGTGTAATTTTTTTTTTTTAACATTATTTTAATTGTATTTAAATTGTGTAATTTAAAGTAAATTGGATGAAAATTTCAAAATAAATATATTAAACTTTAACTAAACATGCCTGCATTGTTTTCCACTGTGTTCTTTCGCTTGTAAGTTGGAAATGGTGGAGCTGGAGACAATCTAAAACTGTTCTCATTTTCATCCTCCTTATTGTCCCAATAAGCAGGATGCAGTAAATCCCTGGCCTTAGCTGATAAGCGAACCTTTCTTTTTGGTTGCGCTTCATCTTCAGTAGTTGTTACACTACCCACGAATGTATTTTTCTTGTCTAGAGCTGCCTTACTCTTGGCTTCTGAAAGTGAAACTGCAAGCAAAAATTATATCTTGTTTAAATATGAGATACTGAAAACATTTCACAACAGCAATTAAAAAAACAATATCGATTTGTTTTTATTTTTTATTAAGTTTTTATCTTCATTAAACTTTTATTACATTTAAACTTCTTGAAAATATCTTTAAATCAATTTTTCCCCAAAAAAAGCTTGTTTAAAATAAAATTGCTTTAAAAAGCTTTGTAAGTTTTTATAAATAATACATTTTTTTTTTCATTTGGTTTTAACAAAATTCATAATTTTAAACTTGGCATAACTAGCAGTATTTAAATAATCTTTTTTTATACTTACTATTCTTTCTTAGAATACTACCCTGGTAGAGCTGCCACTCATATACTCCAGTAAGAGGTTCAACACAAGATTCAATTAACTTCTCTTCTTCTTCCTCTGTTAGATTGCAAGGCCAATAACAATTTGCAGAGTCTACTAACCAGGCCATTGGGGCTTACATTGAATGCAGATATGGTGTTTTGAACCGGAATGCAACATAATTGCTTGACATCTGGAGAAACGAATTAAAATTCTTTAAAGATTATATAATTCTTATAGTTTTTAAAGATTTTATATATTATATATACTTTTTCCTATATATTGACTTTATTCAAAACACATCAGGGTGTTAGCCTGATGTGTTGTGAATTTATTTTTACTGCGTTTTTATGATATTGGAAATATAAACTGTTGTTCTACAAAATATTGGAAATTTTTTATTGATATTGTCCTATTACTTCAACAACAACAAAAAAAAAAAAAAAAGTCATTAAAATATTGGGAATTATAAACCCATTGGGAATCCCCCAGTGCGATTGTGTTGGCTAATAACCTGCACACTTCACATATTTATACCATCATTTGATATAAAAAGAATAAATATAACTATGCAGTATTTATATAATATACACATAAATATAAACACAAATATTTACTTTTTTTTCTTATATATTTTATGTAATACATGCAAATTTAAATGAGTTTAAAGTTTATTAACAATGTATAAGTGGAAAAATTGCAAATGAATTGTCATCGCTAGTAAGTTTGACACATTTGGCTTTCACTATTTGAAGTTGGACAATTTGCAGTGCACCCAAGTGCATGGCTAAATAAATATTTAGGTTTGAAGATCTACACGGAAATACATATAAATCAAGAAGCCTAGTAAACTTTCTTGCAATCAGGATACGTTGATTGCTTTCTGTTGATCGAGCGATATTCTCCAATATGAAGACCTCATTTTCGCTTGTCATAAAGCAGTTGTTGGGACTACTACATTTTAAGGTGAAAGTTTCAAATTTTACTGATGTGTATTGCGGTCCATTGGTTGCATCTATGAGTGGACCCTTTATGTGTTGTTTTGAAAACTCAATATTTTCAAATTTATTGGACTTTTTTACAGGTAAATTTATCTTTCTTTCATGTTCACGCTTTACTATCTGTTGTAATGGGTTAGGTGATGTCTTCAGCATATTTCGAATATACCTATTTGCATTCTCAAACACAAATGCAGAGTATTTTTCAATCGGCCCAAATTTCCTCACATCATTAGCTATATGGATTAGAGAGTGGATATTAGCACTCACAAGATAGTTTCCATATAGCATAGCAAAATCAGAAACAAAATTTTTAAGTAATTTTTCACAATATGCAATCTCAGGAGGAGTTGCTTGTCTAGCAAGAATACTTGTTGCAACATGTAAATTTAAAAAATTACAATATAGAGCTTCATTTCTTTGCGAACCATCAAGTATTTTTTTCATAACAAGAGGACCAATATAAAGTAAAAAAAGACGAAATTCTGTGGCTTTGTATAATGCTAAGTATGTTAGTTCTCGAGGGCGACGTTGAAACTCCAATGGGATTTCATTACTAATGGTCATGATTTTATCAGAGACTTTGGCTCTTATTCTTATATTAAGCTTATTTACAGATGGGGCTTTTCCGAATAACTCTTTTAAAATTTTTTTTACGGTGCCAATGTAAATTTGGTGCATAGGGTCAATAACTACCATAGTTACTATATCTAAGAAAGATATTTGCTCAAGGGGTGTTTCACCATGGTGATGTTCCGGCTGTTGCCTAGCTCTGAAGGATGCATCTGTTCTAAGCGCTGCGTCAATCTCCAAGAAAGCCTGTCTGTTGTTTATTCTTTCTCCGATCACTTCACATTTTGTACAGGAACATTCCCCTGTATGTCCAATTGTATTAAGGATGAAATTTTTAGCTGGAAGGTCACAAACAAAACCACTTATTCGAACATTAAATTGTTTATTTTCAAAATCAATCCCCTTGTTGGACAGTTCAATGCATTCTTCAACAAAATCACTTAGGTATAAATTTAATGAATCAGGTTTTTTAAGTCCATGATATACACTGATTTTAAAGACAGAGACTAAATCTAAATTATTCACTTTTCCCAATATTGACATGAACTGGCTTGTACTGCTTTTACTAATACTAATACCATCAATGTTTATAAATATTTCAAGAGTACTATTATTTTCCAAAATATCATTTGTTTCTTGAATTGATTGAATTAATCCTGCTCTGATTCCAAAGTGATAGTAATGACCAGGGGGAACCTCTCGTAGCACAATTCTATCTGTAAGAGTTCTTAGCAAGGCTTTACGTGTTTTTGGTAATTCATCATTGAAACACTTATGCTTTCTTAGCTGCTTTAATAGTTTATTTGTTGCACTTTCAGGTAAAGCAGACTCCACCACAAAGGTTGCCAACTCTTGTTTAATATTTATTTTTTCGTCACTTGAAAAAGAGACAGGTTCATCTGATGAATCATCTAGTATAGGAGGCAGAGGAGTATGAGGAAGTTGTGTTTGGGAAGTGAGTGGTTGAGGAAGTGGTATCTGCATAGGTTGCAATACTAGTGAAGGTGAATCAACTAGTTGATGAAGAGGTATTTCAGTAACCAAGTTCTCAAAATCTACATTGCCACTGTTTGAGTCTGTATAAGAGCTATGATTTATTGCAGCTTGCTCTCTGTAATACTTTAATCTTTTGTAGGCCTGTGAGCGTGATAGCTTATGAAATGAAACTCTCTTGTGCATATTAGCTGCAAAAATGATTTATTGTCAAAATATAAAAATTTATATGATGAATGATATATAATTATGTAATAATAGTAAAAATTTTAACATACTATTTAAAACATCTAGTGCAAATTATAGTTAAAATTTTAATAACACTTTCTTTTTATTTAGTTGATATTTTACATTATTGTTAATTTATTCTGAACAAAAATTTACAGTAGAGTTATAAAAATTTACATACCTTTAAATGCTGGTCTGTATACAACTGTTATTTGGAGTAAATCAGCAATAAAAACTGAAAAACTATATAAATAAAAAAAACTTGTAACATTATTTGCTGACAATTATATATTAAATTCAAAACATATTTATGAACATAAACTTTAAATCCTAATTCATTATATCGTATACGAGCAATATATATTGTTTTACCAATACATATTGCATAACCTTTAAAGAATTTGATCGCAGAAAATAAAATTGCATATCAATACATATTTCTGCTTTTTAACAATTAAATTTCATGAAACTGTTAAAAAGCGCATGCGCTTTAATGCAACAATTAGCGCATTTTTGCAAATGCTCTTTCGGAAGAGTTCTGCAAAGAACCCTACCAACTATAACATCATTTAAACGACTAAACTAAAAATTAATATCATGCACACGAAAAATCTAATACATTACTTAAAGGTGCTAACTATTGCATAGAGTGTATAATTTTTATATAAAAAGTGAAACTGATTCAATATATAGTCATTATAAAATTTACTTTTTAATCTACTCTACTAACGGAGCTTATCATAGAGTTCCAGGAGCTCTTCCAGAGCTCTTTTTTCTCAGTGGGCATCTTTGTCCTCTTCCTCATACAACGAACCTATCGCATTGTTAGCTTCAAGAACATAATTAAATTTAGTACGATGACTATCGCTGAAAAAATATTCGCTTTGCTTTTTAAAATACATCAAAAATGCTTGCATCTGATGTCGATCCACTTGAATATCATTAAACGTCTGATTTTCATAACGCTCAATTTGAACAGGCGTCCAAAAATCATATTCATCAAAATGATTTTTCATGCTCGGTGATTTTTTCCAACATTCAAGAATCAAGGCCAAATAGTGCACTTTAAGTAATTTAATAACAAAAGGAACCTTGTTGAATCTAGTGGCAAAAATATCGACTGCATCTTCAGAAATAAAAAAATCAATTAACTGATCCATGTGACAATCCCATTTTGTGTACGGTTTAATTAATTACGAAATAAAATTATAAACAAAATTATACAAAAAATATTCATCATCCTTCATATTGTAACGTAATTTAAGATAAAACTCGATGCGTTCTATAAATTCATTTTCTGTCCTTGTTTCCATATCCATTTCGTAATTATCATATTCTCTACACACAACCTGATACACCTCTCTCCATTTGTTGTCGATCATTACATTGTGATCTGAAAAAAAATATTATAATATAATAATTATTTTTATAATAAACATTACGTTGTGATCTGAAAAAACAAACAAACTGTTTTTTATCTCTCCACGAATCGAATAATTTCAGATTTTTTCGATAATCTACCAAAACTTTGTCCAGAATTTCTTTTTCTTTTAACGCCTTGATAAACATTTTTTAAAAAATGATCTTCTAAAATCACTATGACTTCTTGCAATTCATTCAATGTCAAAAGTAACTCGAACATATTTTGAGGTTCAAATTTGTTTTTTGGAAATTTCAAAAACAAACGCTCAGGATACTTGATTAAATGAGCAACGATCAGCTTTAAAAAACCCATTATTTTTTTACTATCGCTAAAAAATGTAAATATCGCAATATAATAAAAAAAAAAACATTTTTTATTCATATTTTTAATGCAAAAAAAATTATAACAAATAGTTTTTTAATGTAAATAAAAATGCAAAAAACTATAACAAATAGTTTTTTTAATGCAATAAAAATGTTTTTTATTTATTTTTTTAAATTTAAAAAAAAAATGTAAAAATTTTTTTTTTTTTAAAAAAAACTATATAAAAATAATAAAAAAAAGATAATCGCTTAACTTAATCAAATAAAAAATAAAAAAACAAACAAACATACTATTTAAATGAGTTATAAGAAAAAAAACATTATTTTCATAATATATTTTTTTAAAGAAATAAAATAAATACAATTTTTTAAAATAAAAAAAAATCTCGAATCAATAAAGTAAGCAATTCAAAAAGAAAAAAAAATATAGTTAATATGTATAATATGTATAATTAATATGTATAGTCTGCTATTGACTGCGGAAAAAAATAATCATCACTTTCAGTTCCGACCATTAACCCTATTTTTTGTTCATTAACACTATTTTTCGCTTTTAAAAAGCTCACAATATCGTTACGACCTATTTGTTCAAATATTGAAATCACCATTTTCAAATCACCATTTTCAATAACATAATTTATAAATTCAAAACCATCTCGAATAGTTTCTTTTTTTCCAAGTGGTACTTGTAACATAAAACAATTTCTTGACGTTGTCTTTAGTCAAATGTTCACCGACTACTAACCAATCATCTCGAGTTAATCTATTCATTTTTTATTTAATAATAGAAATTCTGTAAAAAAATAATTCGTTTCTTTTTTACCAATAATGGAATATTCTATATTCTATATTCACCAATAATGGAATTTCAAATCGATCAAAAATTGAAATTGGGATAAAATATACAAAACAAATCCGCTGTCTGTCTCTTGGTTCTGCTCATTTCGTTAAGAATAACATCTCTTGTTTTGTTTTCGATAAACACACGATCATAAACAATTAAATCATCGAGGTTTTCATCCAAATAACGCTTTCGATGTCCATAAAATTTTTCTAGGTTTAAGATTTTTTTTGATATAAGACTGTCATCTCGAGTTAATCTGTTCATTTTTTTATTTAATAATAAAAATTCTGTAAAAAAATAATTCGTCTATTTTCACCAATAATCATCCAACTTATTAGGAAAGTAAGTAGGCATTCTTCTGACCGAATTGCGGTAGTAATGTAGTGGTAGAGCGCTCGCTTCATAAACGAGTGGTTCCGAGTTCGATCCCCACCACGTCCCTGGTAGTACCGCGCTCAACTCGTTTCTCCGCGCAGCGGTCTTGCTCGTCTAGGTTCGTGTTTCGGAGTTATAGAGTTGAGAGAGGGTTATAACCACAAATAAGTAGCCTCCTCGTCTGTAGTGGCCTTCTCGGCCTTGAGGAGGTGAATTAAAATAAAAAAAAAATTAAGAGAACATCCACTAATATGGATTTCGATCAATGCTGGCTTAATTAACTATTGTATTTATTTATTTTTTCGATTTTTTATAAGCAATTTACGATAATGATGCCCAAGATTTCCTGACTCTATTTTTAAACAATCTAAACTTGTTTTCATTTGAACACCTTTTAATAAAAAAGTACTCGTCATAAAATTATTCAAAATGAACTTCACATACCTCAAGTTGCTGAATGTATTCGTATTGACAAAAATCTTTACGTTAAACTTTTTTTTAAAAATCTATACGAAAAAATTGATCTCTCACGATTCTGGATTTTTTTGGTTTAAGTCTGTTTACCTGATTCCCACAGCAAAAAAAAAAACATTAAAATGCAATATTCTAAATCCATACTCCTGATCTAGAAACAAGGCTCACGCTTCAATCTGAAATGTTGTATGACTCAAAAAGAAACGTTTTTTAGCAGAACAGAAAGAACAGAAAGAACAAGTGTTCGAACAATCCCCAGTAAGCACAAGACGCATTTTAGACACTTATAGACGTCTAAAACTAGTCTAGGTAAAGACGCACTTTTATAGACGTTTTGAAGACATCTTTTAGACGTCTTTTATGAATGCGTTTTTAAAATGACGTTTAAAAGGCGTCTTTTTAAAAAATAAAAAGACGTCTAGAAGACGTCAATTTATTAGGCATCTTCGTCTTTTATAAAGACGTTTTTAAAATGACGTTTATAAGGCGTCTATTTAAGCGTTAAAAAAACGTCTAGAAGAAATCTTTTCTTAAGACATCTTCTAGACGTCTTTAATAAATGCGATTTTAAAATGACGTTTAAAATGCGTCTTATTGAAGTTTAAAAAGACGTTTAAAAGACGCATAATAAATAGTCTAAAAGACGCATTTAAAGACGTCTAGATTAAGGCTAAAAGACGTCTTTTCTGAGACCTGTTTATAAATATGTCATTATGACTTCTTTTTGACGGCTTTGTCATTACGCGTTAAGTAGATGTCGTATATTCAAAGAAAAAACATAGTTTTTATCATTTTCAATAATTTGTTTAAGTTTTAAGTGTAAATTACTTTAAATTAAATTACTTTTTTACACAATTGCTAAAATTGTTGTCACAGGAATCACTAAATTAATTGCTATAATATTAATATATCTTTTTTTTATAATAATTATTTTGCTTTTTTAATAGATAGTTGACTGATCATGATAATAAGTGAAAATGGCAAGAATAATATATAAGTTAAATATCAGTATTATTAGTTTTTATACACCCACAAGCCATATAATAATTCAAGCATGCGGTCAAAAATTAGCTTGTAATAGGTATGATAAATGTTAATATGTAACTAGAGGTAAGTTTTAAATGTTTATAATACTGTTTTGATATATATTTGTTATTGTTATATATTATATTCATCCTTGATGCATCGTCCGTTTGTGGTAATTACAGCTATATTATTTTGATTGCTGGTTCCCTAAGTATATTTTGTATATACGAAATTAAAACAATATATGATTTTAAAAATACAATGAATAAAAACTACATACGACGCAAAAATGTTACGTCATTTACTTATATTCATCTTTAAAAAAACGTCTAAAATACGTCTAAAACGCGTTTTTATAAAGACGTCTTCATTTAGACGTCTTTTAGCCTTATGATCTAGACGTCTACAAGTGCGCCTTTTAGACCTCCTTAAAGACATCTTTAAAACGTCTTTTAAACGTCTTTGTGCTTACTGGGTCGATTATAAAAAATTAACAAGGATATGTGTTTGTGTTTGTGTATTATTTAAATTTAAAAATGTTGTTGGCAATAATCTAAAGCCCACACCTGATCTAAAAGAAGGTGAATGACGTCAAGTGTTCGAACAGTCGATTCTTGGAATTTAACAAGTGGATGAAGAAGTTTAAAAAAATTATAATTTATAAAACTTAAAGTTAAAAAACTTAAAGTTAATATAAAGAAAAAATATTATTATTTACGTTTAATGCAACATTTATTCAAAGCATTAAAAATTAGAATTATATTATATAAATAAGAGT